ATGACTCGCCTCCCTTAAATATTTTGACACATTTTAAATTCAATATAGTTTTAAACAGAAAAAAAATATTTGAAAATACTTTTATGCTTATTCAATAATATATAATATAATGTTTAATGAGGAGTTTGGAGTTTTTTAAATAATTTAATGACATCGTTCTATATTGTCATAAAATATCAAACACAGAGTAGGAAAAAAAACTTTTTATACAATTATTTAATCAACCAAGTTTTAATTTTTCGACTTTATATTCAGCTACCTGATGACGGAAAGTTAACGTTGCGGCCTGTAAAGTTGAACAGCACTGACATTTTAGTAGCCTCTCAAAATGTATATCTTGTTGTATAATTTATAAAATAATTCATCAAAAGTGTACTGGCAGGAAAAAAAGTTTTGTTATTATTTATTTTTAACTTAAGTAAATAAATAAAAAAGGCTTACAAATATGTTTGCACACGGAAAAACAATTTTTATCGCTGGCTAGGTTTTTAATATTTTAATTTACTACCTACTATGTAAGTATTATGTAGGGTTAAACTGTAATTAATTCATTTAAATACCATTGTATTATGTGATACTTTAACAGTTTTTTTTAAATTTAACACTGACTAATCCCAAATTAAAAATATTAAGTGGATTGGGCTGTTTGGGGTCGGTGGTATAGCTACTATGATAGGTTCTTAATTAATTAAATTGAGTTACCTATTTTATTATTAAAAGTTATTATTAATAATTATCTACTGTAACAACATACAATCTAAAATAATTAAAAATTAAAGCGTTTATAAGTTATAACTACTCAGTGACAAAAAATATAATATGTGATTTTCCATATTATTGATAAGTATACCATTTATATATATTAATATACACGTTGAACCTACATAAAAATTATTCAACAGACTGTTATTTTATACTCATAATACCTATTCTTTAAAATATAAATGATGTATTTATATTATATATTTATTATATTATATTATTTGTATTACAGGTTTTTATCAAACTGAAATTGATGTCTAGGTAGATGTGTAATAATTTTCTTTACTGAAGCTAAATGTCTGTATTGTTTCAGACGTTTCAGTAACAATATAGGAACTATAAAATTGAAATTCATAAGAATTGAAAATTGATAATCAATTAAAAAAAATTAAGTGTCAATTATTTTTAAATTCAAAAACGCTATGAAAGTTTTAATAATTACCTATTTTATGTTAACGCGGATCGTGGTAGGTACTTAACATGTTTGGGATAGAATATAGTGCACAAACAATGATATATGATAAAGCCTTATCACTCACCAGTAAAAAATCAGTTAACTATAATACTTTATAAAGGTATATTTTTTTTCCAATTTTCAGAAATATCCGAGAAATGTCAGATACATAAAAAAAAAATGTTAGGGTAAGTGGATGTTGCTTTGCTGTACAGTAGGTTATAAGTGGGTCACTGCAATGGATGGTGTTAAATTTGGATTCAATGAAATAAAAACATTGTACCTATACGAAAAACGATTTTTAGCGAAGACGGTCTGTTAGCCTATAATATTACTTAGTAGCTTAGTATGTTTGATGATATTATTGTGATTAAACTATTAAAGTAATTTATTTTACTACTAAACATTAGTGCTACTGTAGATTAAATTAATTTTTGCCAAAAAATACATTTGAAAAGTCATTGAGTGTATAAAATATAATAATATACTCTAAAAGTTTCAAGTACCTACGAATAATATTTTTAAATTACAACAAAATAACTTATATCATTATCCTTGGTTATATAATTTCGTCCACGTTTGATTGTTTGAACACAAAATAACCAAAAAAAAAAAATGTGCTTATATACTTTTATATTTTTTGGATTGTTTGGTTACAAAATATACTACTTACGTGGAACCTTGTTTTAAATTTTCAACCCTTAGCTATAAAAGTAGAAAATCTTAAATATTTTTAACAATACAATTTTTCGTAAACTTTGAATGATATAAATGTTGTCAAAATTTGAACTTCAAATGCTTATAAGAAAAAATTGTGACTATACATTTTTAATATTTTTCAATTGATATTGTGAAAATAAATCAGGAGCCTTGTATTAAATTTTCAAGCTTTTTGATCCAACAAATAAAATTTATTGACATTTATAAAAACTGTGAGTTACGAAAACCACTGTTCAAACATATTATATATTTTGTCCGAAATGAAAAATTATGTTAATTATCTAGATAACTACTTAGAAAAGTATAAAAATATTAATTTTAGAATCTAATTTTATTTAGACTTGAACAAATTTTCTAATATCTAAAATCCTTATTTTATTTTAATTATTTTTAACAAAATTTAATAAAATAATGACCATAGTAAACGGAGACTTACGGAGTCACCCAGAATCGTTTTTGTTATGTGATATAACACTCACACACATTCATATATATTTAGTTGGTTTCAAATTTAATATGATGGCTGGAACAAATCTTTCCAGGTTCTTGGAAACATCCAACATTGCAGTGGTCAATAATGCGTGAAGGAAGTCAACTTCATTTGTTTTTATTTTGTTCGGTGCAATATTATTTTAAAGTGTCTCTGAAAACTATAAACAACGCTCTTAACATTTTCGGAATTCCTTAGCGCGAGGGAAATGGAAAAAAAACAAAACCGCGAAACGAAAACAAACGGTTCTTATACAACCACGTGCCGCATGGTTAACGCATTACTGAAAACTGATTAATTTTGTAGCAAAGTCCCTCTAGCGATAATCGTGCTCCCACAATGTTTAATTTTGTTTCCTGGGCCGTTGGTATTTTTGAGACTGTCATATATTGGACATTTTACGGTCGAGTCGATTATTGTACGCTCAGTGCACACGCATAATATTATTATGTGTGTATAATGTATAATATTTATTGATACCTACTCGTATGTGTCTACCAGGTACCTATATATATCGTAAAATAAATATACGTCATTGGCATCGTGGGATAAGGTACACTTCGGTGTCAAATCTAACCAATAAATAAGTTCTTCGCCCACCTAGCTGTTGGTCAATACCTACTCAATTACATAAGCATTACACATAAACTATCAAAGGTTGTTGTTGTCCATACTTACTTAATGTGATCAAATAATAAGCTGCGCTCGAATCCAATAACACACAGACCACGCGGGATTGTAGGTACCTATATAATGACACGGGATCGACCGGCTCTTGAACGATGTAGTTTACCTGTATAATATTATAATGCCACATGGCCCTGAACCATTTGATCAGAAATGATCCAATAAAATAATCTTCGAGAATTTTCACTTGAAAGGAAACATGCAGAGGTATAGAAAATAACATCGTTTCAGGAATTTTTTTTTTTATTAAAACGAAATAACCACTTCTAAATTCGCATTTTTAAAAACAATCTATACCATTTAGCTGTTGTATAATATGTTTTATAAACAATTTGTAATTTGCTTATTTATAAAAACCGTTTTTTATTTCATTTAGTTGTTTACCATGCTTAAACAAATTGAATGTAATACAAACGACTATATTGATGAAAAATAATCAAAATGGTCCGAAAAGATGACAGACAAATGTATCTGACACAATTTGATAAATTTACCCATCATTAATAATAATAATAATAATAATAATAAGCTGTACATTTTATCAAATTATATAAATTAAAAATATTAAAACAGTTTTATTATCAGTTATTTGATTTAATTTATTAATAACACACATTAGATGTCGAATGTGAAATCTTTTCGGGCCAAGCTGACAAATGTTTCTGACAATCCTGGCCAAACTATACATGAATACAAGTTAATTTATCAAGAAATTATTAGGCTTGAAAAAAAATATCTGCTATGAATATCTATTCAAATATTTTTATAAAGGTGTAATGCAAGAAGCTAAGCGAACGTTATCGTAGAAAAGTAAATTACAGGTATCTTACACTCAAATTGCACATATAATGTATAGTATAGCCAGTATTAATAGGTATATATTATACACACACACACACATATTATATATAAACAAAAGGAAAAAAATGATTTTATTTACGAAAACATATAGTAGGTATGTAATAAACTGAGTTGGATAGCGTGATAACACGTTTTGTTCGATAGGTATTTGATATCAAGTGAAAATTCACAAAATGATTTATATAGATGCTTTTAAAACCGATGCTGTTAAATAATTTGGCCAGAATATCCCAAAACACCCTGATATAGTAATAGTAATAATAATAATAATAATAATAATAATAATAATAATAATAATAATAATAATAATAATAAATATAATTAATTTTAACATTAATAAATTTGTTCATCTTTCTAATATTGTTCAAAACATAAATGCATCAATATTATCTGTTAACAATAATAATTATAATAATGAATGCGCTGTTAAAATTAAATACTTTGCTTTCTTTAACTGTTTTTACATGTTATAGGCATATAATAATAGTTATTCAAGACCTATTATTAAATTATTTTATTAATACAAATCTAAAAAAGTTTAACAAATATGACCTAAAAGATGTTCAATTTATGAGACAATGGAAAACACACCTGTTGGTTGTTACACGTGTAAACTGTTTAATGATCCAGGTGATCTATGACTAAATAGTATCTATCTATAATACATTAATTTTAAGTATTATTCATATTAATATATATTTTTATCTACCCGAGAGTTAGCGCAAGTAATAAAAAATACTAATAAGAAAAAACTAATGATTTTAAACAAGAACGATGACAATTATTATGATATATATGATATAAAGTGTTTGTTATGAATAGTATTATATTTATTTCGATGGTTTAATTGAATTTCATACAATATAATAATATATAATTTATAATAATGACCCTTTTAAGATCTAGAAGACTCAAATATATCGTACAACAAACTCGTAGATATGGACAGATAGAAGTTACGTTCAATATCAATAGTAAATTAATAATTTTAAAAAAAAGAGAGATTTAGAATATTTTCATTTAAACGCTTATTTAACTACAGACATGCTTCGGCACAATTATAGATGTTTAAAAAGATCGTTTATAGTTTTGGATCCAATTAAATTGTTACGCAGCGTCGTTATATTTTATTCTAATAATATGATTGTGTTATTCTATATCAATTCGTATTGTAAGTGTTCTTTCACGTAAAATGTTTCGTTTTCTTTAGAAATAGGTAGTTTTTTTGGTTTTTTTTTACACATTCGTGTACATTTTTTTTAGCAATAAATTAGCCACTAATTAAAAATAAATATACCTCTAGTATTACTGTTCGATATGATCAAAACATGGTGTTTTTAATTTGTCATTTTTGAGACATATTATATTGACATTTAATAATTAGTATAATTTATAACCATCATTTTGACCTATGTGTTTAGGGAGAAATTTCTAATACGTACAAAAAGTAGAGCATGTATTATATTATTTTGTTACATTAGATTATATCTCGAGTTTTAAACACATTTTATATTATACGATATACCTAACTAATATTAAATAATTACAATTTTTTTAATTACAAAATTTGAGTAATTTGTTGATTCTATAATAGACGAAAATGTTATATACTATTCTCAATTAAGATATTATAGTTATGAAGTAAACGTTTTATTGTGAATCTATTATTTATTATAGTTATAATATGACGACTGTACAGACTTACACATAAAATAAATTATTATTATTAGGTTTGAATGTAGGTTGGTATAGTATAAAATATATGTTACAAAAGTTTGGTGAATATGTAGGAACAGCTATCGGTAGGTATGATCAAAATATTATGATAATAAATATATGCCTTAATAATGTCGAGAACAAATAGGTCGAATGATGCTTTTGCAGTCTTTCGCAATTTACTATAAAAAATCTTTCACTTTTGACAAACCCAAAGTACCATCTGGGTACAATGTCAAATCAATAAACAATAAACAATGAACATAGGTACATGCAATTTATGGAGCTTTAATAAAAAGAAAGTTTTTTCGAAAAAAACAACATAATTGTAAAACTAATAGCTTCTTTGCTTCCGCTCAGGATCTATAATAAAGATAATTGATGGTTTGTATGAAATCGACTTTGCATTTCTCGCACAGTCGTAATAATTTAATTTATAAATAAAGTAATAAAAAAACAATAGTCATAATAATATATTTACAAATTATGGACAGCCTAGTATTGTAACTGAAATATAATATAACTGGTGCCCAGAGTCCTTGGCGAGAACAGGTGTTACATAGGATAAGTAAAGTAAATTAAAATATGCACATCGTGGGCAATGTGCCAGTACACCACATTGTTTTGGAATTCGTCCCAATTTTTCACTCAAGTCAATAACATTTCGTGGGTCAAGTATAAAAAATATAAAAAGGGTTCTAAATCGATTTTGGTATATCTAGAAGAGCATTTTTTAAAATTGATCATACATATAGCCATATAGGTAGTAAGTACTATGTTTATAAAGTCAAATTTTCTTACAATATACCATTATTGAAGGAACATGTCGTTTTTAGTTTATACACACTCTATACTCAAACTATGACTCCAGGTCTTGTTGGATCAGCTTATCCACAGAAGCCTCAAAGAAATTTAAATTACAATTTATTTGATGTAGATTTCAAAAATGGACGGAGAAAAATAATTCCTCTGTATGTTAAACGTTTGGACAAAAATATTTTATAAAAGTTTAATTAAGTTTAGTCTAATCTGTTTTTTTTAAGTTACCAATATGTAAAAAAATATATTACTACACATTCAACATGTAAAAGTCAAGGTTTTAATAACAATTGAAAATAAATATTATTTCTGATCAGTGTTATATTTTAGATATCGCCGAAATTTTACTGTCACTAAAAAAAACAACGCTATGTATTATTATTTAGTAATATCACTACTTTTTTTTAGTATTTATTGAACTGTTGGTACCTATTTGGCTATTTATCATGATAAGTTATATTTAATTTTAGTAAAGTAACTGCAATGTAAGTAAAACCTAAACTGATTGTCCAACAACTTAAGACTTTTAAGTATGTAGACACTTAATCTATAATTGATTAATATTGTGTAGTTGAATACACTTTTACAATTCACAGAAATCAATCTTAAGCTGCAAAATACTAAAGAAAAACTTACTAATGAATTTTAAAAACGTTTAATTTAAAAATGTGCATTTTCGAAACACATCGATTTAGAACCACATAACTATAGACCCACGATTAAATCAGATTAAAAAAAAAAAATGTTCATAGCTATTAATTCATATAGTACTTATGTAATTCTGGACTCTTTATAAATCTAGGTCTTTTGAAAATAAAAACCAAACGTATAGATGCCATCCGTTTCTTGACAACTCACGGTATGTGGAGCACTTTACATTCACTAGTCGCCTCTGAAATAACCTTAACAAAATCCATCGTCACCCACTGTGACATGGAAACTAGCTTTTAAATTACACTTTACAGAAATTATATTTACACTTTATAAACTGTTGCATAATATTATGATTTATGACGTGGACTTGGTTGCTTTATGATCTTGCTTATTGGACTGCGCATATTATACCTTTGAGTACCTATTATACGTTACACAACAACAGTCAAAAGTGTCTACACCTTTTCAATGTACGTTTTACAATCACGAGAGTTTAATCTATGGGAGTCATCTAAGTACAAGATTTGTATCTTTAAAAGGAGCGCGAGAGCTGATTTAAGAGGCTGAATGGAAAGACAAATTAAATCGTTCGATATTTTACTGGTATTATACTGGTAAGGTGTAGAGTAGAGGCAGAAAAATATAAAATCGCTCCTACATATTTTGAGTCGTGTAACTGAAAAATACGAACAGATCTGATTTGACGAATTTGAAAATTGTTTTATGAACAAAATAATCGAACGAGGGAACTCGATAAACTGTAAGTGTACACTGATTAGTACATACCTAATCACAAGGTCGAAGAACGGAATTAAGGAATTATACCGGTGGAGACATTTCGAACACAGGGCATAATACTTAATAGATCGTTTTGTTTGAATGTATTGTTATGGTTTCTATACTATAATTTTGAATGAAAATCGTTATAACTATCCAAAGGGCTGTTTGTTGAATATGAAATCATCGATTTCTCCCGATTATAATGTTTGAAAAGATTTTTATTTGTTTGTTATAATATGGTATATATGTTTTTGAACAGGCTCTAATAAAGATTAAATATGTAATGACGTGGGGCAGTCCATCGACGGGTTTCAGATGTTACTCGACGTATTATTATTTCAATTCCCTCACATTACCAACACCACTCGAACTTTGCTCGATTAAAATTGCACGCACACAGAGCGAACGGTAATTGTTGATGTGACTGGGACCAAGTTCGATCAGACCACACATAATAGTTGTATATATTATATTCTACCTCCGTGTTTGGCGTATTCATTATTCGGTTTGTACATAAGCCGTATTATTATAATCACTGTTGTTATATGTTGAAAGGACAGTATTAAAGTCAGTAGGTACATAATCGTTAGTGGAGTTGGTTGGGGGGAGGGTGGTTGGGCCGTTGGCGCAACGAGTGACTTGACGCGACAAACCGTTGTTTGCCTGCGTGGGTGTTGAGTGTTGACTGGGTAGAATTTATGACGAGTGTAGGTGGCTACCGGTAGGCACTAGGTACACAAAAAGCAATGGCGTCATACAGTTTTTTTCTTATTAAAGAATTATTATCAACATAAATTATTATATTTCGACCATTATACAGAAAGAAAATACAGATTAAATGTGAAGCCCGATATTTTTTTTTAAAGTGTCACACGAGTCATACCTCTGCATAAGCCACGGCATATTATCATCATAACCGACGTCGTACAGGTCGTTGTAACGACGTGGGTATTGCACAATACACGTGTTTGGGAAATTGTTAATATTACGATTTTCGAATTTCGAATCGAATTCGATCGGAAACCACACAATCGCACGACCGTCGCTGGTACACGAATGTTCACAATCACAACGCCCAAACAGAACCTATCTACCTATACCTCAACTTGAGTGGGTATCGTTATTATCCCGGCGGCTGTGATGGTGTCGACGAAGAAGGTAGGTATAGGATGGGTACATCAAAACTGCAATTAACGAGAAACGTGAGCGTCCTCGACAGGACTGCAGGCCGGACTAACGACTTGGGGGACACACGAGCCTATAATATACTTAGGGTTAGCCTGCACGTTTATAATAATATAAACACAGTAGTAACAACGATAGTATCAATAATAATAATAATAATAATAATAATAATATTAATAATCGCGACTATCATTATTAATACTATCACGTCATCGTAAAATGTATATACTATAATAACGTAATATTATAGTAATGACAGAATAAGTCTATGCAACGAACAAATACGATACGACACGTGCAAAACTGCAAAAACGAAATGGAACAGTTATGTAACAATAAATATATTATGGTTCGGAGTCGGACGGCGGCTAGAGGAACGTGATGCGTACTTGCGGCTTGTCGTTGTTGGAGGACAGCGACGGGGACGGCGGGTACGAGGCCGACCCGTAGTCCATTTCCGAGTTTGGATAGGAAGTTGGAAGGTTGACGACGACGGACGACGTGCTCGAGTTGGGGTTGTTGGAGCCCTGCACGGACATGACGGAAGTGGATCCGCCGGCCGCCCCGCTGCCACCGCCGGCAGCGCCGCCGCAGCCGCTGCTGCTTCCGGCCACCGCAGTGGTCGCGGCCGCCGAAGCGGACGCCGAGGACGGCGAGCCCGCGGCCGACGACTTGTGGCCCGCCGACGCGGACGGCATGTCGCAACTGTTGTAGTCGAGTGAGTTGCTCGACTTGCCGCCGCCGGGCGCCGCGGCCGCCGACGTGTGACGCTGCTTCATCTGCACCTCGATCAGCTCCTCCTCGTTGATGGGTTCGCCTATCGAGTCCGGCGAGCTCTCTCGCTTGTGCTTCTGAAACATCAATACGCGATCCGATCGTGTTAAATACCACATATTATACAAGTGTGGGCGAGGCACGACGTGGATAATAATAATAATAATAATATATTATACATTATAAGTACCGTGGATTTGGTACCTGGTGTCGTGTTAGGTATAATATAGCGTGCATCTACTGATCTACCAATTATCAAACATAGAAAAATTCTATAATATTATCATCTACACGATAAAGTATTAATAATTATACGAATAACAGAAAAAAAATATTTAAGCGCATGTTATTTACAATTTATATATAAATCGACACTTAACGTATCTGATATATATATATATATATATGTGTGCTCGTTTACCCACATTTCTGGCCACTAAATTGTATTTTACTTAGAACCTTGATAAACATATATTCATGTGCGTCCGCATTAGATATAGGCCGTAATACTATTATTGTCGAGGTCTTGCATGTTGAAATTGAAATAAATAGGTACCTAACTGAATTGGTTTATTGTGTATGTATAAGAAGCAATTGTAAATTACAAACGTACGTAATCGTATTTTATACTCGCTAATAAATTAAAAATATTATTTTTTTGAGCGATGAAACACAATTCGAATTTCCGGATTAAAATAATAAATGAAAATGAATTATAATATTCGGAATAGATATAGGTACTTATCAGTAATTTATTACGAATATGAGCTGCACTAAGGGCGGGACAAAACGTCACTTTATACATTATATTATTGTAGGTTTCAGCGTGGGTGCGAAACGAACAGCGGAGAGATGTCTTTTTTTTATATGCTTGTCTGTATACCGTGGTGTAGTTCAAAGTTCTTAAATAAATATTGTTTCTAGCAAATGGAGAATTCGATTTTTTCCGATCGTTACGTATACCATACAATGTGTGCACTGTACAATACATATAGCTATTAAATTATATAATATGTTATCCTAACACGAATCGATCGGGCCGTGCTCTTCCGTGGCGGGATCAGCGTTGGAGTTTTTTTTTTTATTTTGCCGACGTGCGATATTGTTGGCAAGTCAAAAGTTAAGATTCCGACTGGCGCCGCACGTTTATAATAATAATATATACACAACTCGACAGGTCTGCTAATGCACACCCGTAATTACGCCAACACCTGTGCACGGCCATGGCGTATACAGGTATATATGTATTGTATGTACAAACGAGTGGTCTTATATATATATATATATATATAAGCGAGTGGTCTTATTTATATGTACATATTAGGTATATATATATATACCAGCGGTCATGTTTATATATATTATTCGCTTGTCAACGAGACTCGTGTACTCTTATATCATGTCCGCGTTACCGTGGGCCTTTCCCCGCTTTTGTTTGTGACCTTTTTTTTCCACCGTCGAATATGTATATATATAGATATTCGCCACACTTTTTAACGTGAGCTATAATACATAATAATATCATAACTTCACGCCTCCGGGCCTTAGGACCCGAAGTCACGCCGTGCGACGGGTTGTTTCTTTTTAATCCGAGTTTTCTAGTTTTTTGCAGACCGTTAGTGGTGTAAATAGTTATTACTACGTAGGTACTACGGGTTTTTTCACGTTGTAAAAATATTACTTTGACCATGACGTAATATGTATTTGTCGAAAGAATTTTCTCCGTTACAATACACGTCGTTTTTTAATTAGAGCGGTTATAGAATAATAACCTTTATCATGTAGGTATCTACATTAATAACATGTATGCAGACTACATAATTATGTAGCTCATGTTGTAGGTACATGTAAATTTCAGAACATGATATGGAAAACAACAAAATCAACATCTACACATTCTTAGAATGTATAATGTGAAGTAATCAACAGTAGAAAAATGTACTTAATTTACATCATATGGAAGATGATTATAATATTTAATAGTAGTTGGTGTTTTATGTTAATTTAAAATACCTTTATATTTATTGCCATTACTACATGGCAGCTACAAATGCATTTAGTAAGTTAAATTCCTAAATAACGTCAAGTTATTGCTATTCATAATTTCTGATTTTGTATTTCATTATGTGGTAGGTACCATAATCATCACTGTTGGAGGTATCTCCTACCCATTTAGTATTTTTGTCATTTTTACTTTACAAAGCCATAAGGCTTGTAATATACTATGTTTGTACCATATATTATATTTTAATAAAATTACTTTGTTTTCAAATATTAAAATAAAAAAATACATTTTCTTTCATTCAATAATAAATTTAGGTATAATTTATATACCTATTAATATTACTCACTCGTCGTAAACTTAAACGTTTATGACTATGATTGTATATATATTTTTTTAAATTTAGTGTAAGGCTCTTATTACAAAAATAATTTTTATTATATAGGTAGCTAATTTTTTGTTCACTAATTTAATTAAGTTAATAAGATAAAAATGTGAATAATTTTGTAACCATTTTAGACGTTAATTAAATCGTTTATCGATGTCTTATAAAAAAATAAATTTGTTACTAAAATGTGACTTTAGGTACCTATTTTTAGTATGATGGTCGTTTATAATTACACTACAAAAGTATATAAACTATTATAGGTAGTGTTTGAGTAAAAAAAAAATTCTACTTTATTTTTAAAATTGTCTATAAGCTATGTATTAGGATATTATTTAAAACATGCAAACGTTTTTTAAAAGTACCTACATTTATAAATAATTTTTCAGGCCCAAATAAGTATAGTTATTTAGCTCTAAAAAAATTTACTACTTCAATTTTTTCAGGAAAAACTACTAATTACAAATAATACTTTAACTACCTATAATTACATATTAAAATCTACATTATCTGATGTAATTTATTACTAAGTAGGTACCTACCTATTCATAATAACGTAAATACCATTTGATTTTGTATAGTATTTTACGTTACACTATAAATTTGTCTTATAGTGTCTACAAATGTCAAATATATCTACTTTTATATTTATATTTCATTGCTAGGAATTTCTAACATAGCATCAAATAGCATGTGTAATGTGCACTGTTGTCAAAACCATAGTTTCCCAAACTTTGTGTGGTATGAAACAAATTGGAAAATTTTTAAATATTGGCCACCCACCAAAATATAAAATGATTAATAAAATGCATCTTTTTTTGTTAATATTTAATATATATATATAATTTATGATTTATGTTATACTAAATAAATAATGTAAAAAAAATAATTATGATTGTTTACTATTTATTAGTTAAATGTGAATGGTGTACTTGTTTTATAGATTTTTCTATTTTCAATTTATTATTAAATATTGATCCTATTTCGCATACATTTAATATTTTTGGAAAAATTAACGGACATCAACGAAAGTACCTATACCGAAATGGTGAAATATATTGCTACACATTATTTTACACAAAATATATTATTTTTGTGAAAATAATTTATTATTTAAATATATATTTATATTTTATAAATATCTAATATTCTAATTATAATATTTAAGAAATTAATAACATGAATATTTTAAGTGACCCACAGTTTGGGAACCTCTGGTTCAAACTAATTTAATAAATTGTAAATGAACTTTAATATCTAAAAATTTTAATAATTCTACGTTTTTGATGATCATCGACATTCAAATGAAATTTTTACTATAGATTTACCTAGTATTAATGAAATAGAAACTATCAAACCTGATACCGTTGATTACAGCATCTTGTACAGCATGAGCTTAAGAAGTTCACCCTGCTTAATGCCGAATGGCTAGGGCTCAGTAGGGGAGACGGTGAGCATGGCCTTTTTGATTGACCATTATATGGCACTTCGAGCTCCACAAACTCTCTATCCTAACATAAAAAAAAAATTAATTCTAAAAATAATTTCTCATTTGAAAAAAAAAAAATCGATGGCTAAAAGAATAGGTACAATAGAAGAATGATAATAGAGAAATATCGAGTATGAATAATATTGCAAGTATAATTAAACACCTAGTTATAACATATATTCAATAGAATTAATTAAAAAGTTATATTTTGTTATAATTAGTTATCAAAGAATTGTAGTGTATACAAAACTATTAAATCTATGATATTGTTATGCTGCCTTTACAGTTTAGTATTAGATAGGTAGGCACATACAAATATTGAAAATGAAGGACTTATATTTTGTAAGTATACTAAATTTATTATTAATTTAATTTAAGATCTAAAAACGTACAATATTTTCTTTCCGTATAAAAAATAAGTTATAATAGTAAAGGTGCATTATATACATTTATACATATATGATATGTGCATGTATGTAATATATATATATATAATACCTATGTAAAACAAGATTATGTAGTTTATGTTTATACTATTTAAATTTATTAATACTATAGAAACGTATTACTTTAATTTGTAAGTAAAAAATGTACCTACATTTAGAATACGGTTGAAACAATATTCTTTTCTTTTTAAAATCGAGTGATTAAAAATTAAAATTGTATTCCATGATAAATGGAATCTGTACATCCACAGAAAAGCTTATTGTATTAATTTAATATACATTTCAGGTGTTAAAAGCATTGCCAATATTATATTAGAAATTGGAAAAATATAGTTAGTTAATACATAATAATAAAATAAATCTTAGAATAAACGTTGTTACTTTCATTTGCCGTAGAGAATCTATTCTGTGATCATAATTATTATTCATAAGTATAGTATGTAGGTACAATCATTGATGAACAACTATTGTAATATAATACAACACCATACACAAAGTACGGTGCACAGTTGTACCTACATATTATAATATATGCAATATATAGGTAAGGCCGTATAGGTTAGGGTTTTAATGGAAAACTCATAGTTTTCAATTGGATATCACTCTGCACCCTGGTACTGGTTGTTGGAATGGTAGTGAACTAGTGATTAGTGTCAATAATTTTTTGGATAAAAAATTTCTAACCTATCATCTCATCTAGATAAATATTGTGGAACTTATCTATTGGTTATCTTGGATAACAAATTTCCTTATCTATAACTTATAAGTAGATAGATTTAATTTTAATCTCCCACAGGCCACAGCAATAAAATATTCATTTCTCATGAATAATATTAGTTTTTTTAATTAAAATTTTTATTTCATAAGGCTATTCAATTGATACATGTACCTACCCATTTTCTACTAGAAAATGTTATATTGTTTGTTGCTACTTTTGATACGTCATTTTATGAATTTTAGAAAGTTAACTAAATCTACCAGCGGATTTATATGAAGCATCCGTCCGCGGCTTACATAAATTCCAGAAAAGCACAAACATCTCCAGAATGTGATTTTTCAAACATGATAAATATATTTTTTTAATTTGTCATGTGATAAGATGAGCTTTATTTTGGTAAAATGAAAAATACAACTTTAAACCAAATATACTTGTTGTGTTATTCTTATTTAAAATTCATGCGTTTCTCGCTGTGGAATCTGTATAGTATATACAATATACATTTAGGTATACGTTTTACAACATTAATATTTATGTAGGTATTAATAACCTTTTGTACAGAAAGAATTTTCAGTATTATATATTACAACGATTGTAAAACGAGTATTTTAATTTAAATATTAAAGTTCTTGTAGCTCCTGACCCAATATATTTTAACATACAACAGTAATTTGTAGGTAGTGTATTCAGTTTCTTATACATAGAAGAAATAGCTGAGTGAAAGTTCTATAGTTAAATTAACTTAAGGACATTAGGCATAATTTTTAAATCACATTACTAGGGGGGGGAGGGGGGATAAATAAGTTATTAAAATGTACTAAACAATTTTAATAATAAAAGTTGGTACCTAAACCTTTTAGAAATAATGTGAAAACCAAAGAATTTGTAATCATTAAATTGTTAATAGGTACTTATAACTAAAACCATGTGATTTTCACACACTCAGGAACTTCAGACTTAACATAATTTATTAGTTTAATGTCGGAAAGCGTTCAACCAACAACCTAAATAAATTACATACGTACGCGTGTCTTTAATTATTTAAATAAAATTAAAGTTAAAAATATTATGACACCATTTAAAAATAAAGACAATAGTGAAAAAATATTTGTATAAAGTGAACAATTATTTTGATTACGTAGCATATTTAACAACAATAACTCGATAGACCGAGTTAAGATCACACAATATCGTTTCACTTTTTTTTTTTATAAAATTATAAAAGACGTTACTTGCGTTATCAGCGACTTGTTCCTCAACACGTGTTGAGGGCACTCAATCATTTTTTAAGCTTTTTAATTGTAAATCTAAATACCTTTATTTTGTATCCTGATTAAGATAAAGACGTCTGAGTTGAAATTTATTAGCATGAGATGAAAGAAAAATAATTGTATCTAGATATTTCATATCACAGTTAATATATTTGCCAGAATTGTGAACTATGAAACATTAAACATCTGCTCAGTTTACAAAATTAACAAACCACCAGATTATCCCACAAACTGTGCAAAAAAAAACTGCTGTTAATAAATTGATTAATTACACAACTAGAATGTAAAACATGAATAAAAACCATTCTAAATGTAAATTCTCAATAACATACAATTATTAATAAAATAATAAATTGACCTGATTATTAGTGATTCCTATTCATATGTTCTCTTTACATAAAATTACGTTATCTACCATCAATAAATACATTTTTCTCAGATTCGTTTTTGTTTATTATAATCTATTTTAATGAAACAGTGTTATATGTTATTAAAAATTACATTATACATAGACCTACAACAAATTTTGTAGTAATAAGTCAAATACTGTTTTTAATAAGCTCGACATTAGCGTGGATATTTTTTATAAGAATGATGTGAAAGAATGATATGAAAGAATAGGTATTATGTTGTATACGTTTATACTATTTTAAATTAATGAATTATTATAATGATTTAAGTTCGTCATAATCCATAGTTGAAATACTCATTGAATGATTTGTTTAAATATCATCCGTGCAAATTCCAATTGATAGGGGGCTAAATGAAACTAGTGGAATACTGGAGTCGTACTTCTTCTATCCAAAAGTGCATATAGGTAAGCTGTACTCATAAAAAATACACATAACAATAAAATCAATCTTTTTTTATGTCGATAACTTTGAAACGTTGATAACTATTTTGACTGGATGACTGGATACAATCTTTGTTCTTTTTCACTAATTTTAATTGTTATTGTTTCATAACCTTGTAAGCACATGGATTTTGTTCGTATATCATATAATAAGACAGAATCTTATTAATTCTTGTTTTAAACCAAATTTGTATTCAGTACATTTTAAGCTGTCAATGTAAAATAGTGCTTGCTGGGTATGGTTTTAAAGTTATTATATTATTATATATAGCATAGTTTCGCTGACACACCAAGTTTGAAGATCACGAGTTGAAAGCTATTAGGTTATTTCACAAACATCAGAAAACAGAAAAAACACAGACGCCAAGCCACTAAATTAGGTGGTAAAATTATTAAATATAGCTGATTATAGCATGTCAAAAATAAATTCTAATATGCTATCATGGGGTAAAACTAGTTTTTAAAAAATATTATAATGCTCCTTTTAAAATATAAATATAAGAATATCCGGATTACTTACATATTATTTGGCTATGAAGTAAAATGTTGCATATCTATGACGGGACTATAAACTTTAAATACCTAGGTAATTAGAACATTTAATTGTAATAAGTTATAAAATTAAAAGCTCAAGAAATTTTTTATGGCTAAAATTTCTTTATTAACTGATTATTAAATACAAAATTATTTTTTCTTAATATTGATCTTTGCATAAGTAAATAGTATAGTTGCAGTAGTTTTTAATAATAAATTTTCAATTAATATAATACAGAATCATTTTTTTGTTGAAATATGCTGGTTAATTGTTGTATAATTATTAATAAGTAATAACTAAGGATAATATGAAAAAGCCGAATAGCACGAGATCATATTATAAATTTATGACAAATTATGTTTCAGGAGTCAATCTTTTGTGGATATATTTTCTTAATAATTTATATATATTTTTAATTTAAATGGCGATAGACTAGTTAAATGCAGCAGCATTAATAATTCTAAGGTTAAAAATTGTCCTACTATTCTTAATATTGATATAACAAAATAAAGAGGTGGCATTAAAGCACTGCCACAAGGGATGGACGCAAGCCCATGATATATAATTTATTTATTTATGATGGATACATATTTGATACTATTAGAAACTTTTTTTAAAAATATTTATCTTCTCTTGACACAATTAAAAAAAAAAAAAGTTTGTATTTTAAAAAATAATAATAATAAAAACTGCCAAGTATAAATAAATAAATATAATATAATATTTAGAGTTTAGATTTAAAGGAGAATAAGGATTAAAGAATACGTTGGTTTTTGTGGGTATTTGAAGCAATAAAAGTCGTTTAAAGTTTCATGTATACTCTTTAAATCGACAATTGGAAACAGATGGTACATAAAAGTATTGCAAAATATAGGTACCTAGTCTTAGAGAATATTTATTCGTAAGACTGCGATATTTCCTATATCAAGAATTTAATATAGAAAAAGAGAGGGACAAAAGTTTATTAGATTAATATGCATAATCGTTATTTTTTGTTTTGGAATCAAAAAATGCATGTTAAATAAAATACTTTAATTTTTATATTGTTTTTTCAGTTGTTACGCTTTACTAAGAAAATACTGAGAATTTGTAAAATTGATTCATTTAAGTAAAATACATATTTTGCAAAGCATTCTATAAATATAGTCTTTTATTCACTATTATAATTATATAAGTGCTATATTATAAGATACTTAAGTAAAACTTAAAAATATGTTCTTATTGATGACAACTGTTAGACAAAAAAAGTTTTAACTACCTACTTATACCTACTTTATGTTTTAGATTTAGAGTGAAGCTGTGGTATATACGTTGAATGTATAATTATGTGTTCTTATTTTTTATCGTAATTATTTTTTGAATAAAATAATTTAAAAATAGTGATAACAAGTTTCACGTGATTCCACATTTCAATTGGTAAAATTTTAAAATCTTTTTTTAGTTCACAATTTATAAAATTCACATCATTATAATTTAAATGATCAAAAATGTTGGAATTTTATGTCGACCATTATAATTAAAGAATCTCTGAAATCATAAATTAACATGATATTATAACATGAAATTTATTTACAATTTAAAAATTATAAGACTTATTTTTTTTTTTTTTTATTGTTCTATTTGTAGCTTTATGCTTTAATACAACAAAATGTATATATATTTATTAAAATGTTTTTTAATTCATGCAGTTGGTACCAAACTTCACTCAGAATTGCTTTTTCTTTGACTGAGATTTATTATTGAATTTAAAGTGTTTTATTACCATGGCATCTGTATCATTTTTGATATGGAGTTTTTTACAAAAAATTTTAGTTATTGGATAGTTTCAAATAATTAGGTTTGTCTAATGATATTATTTATTTAGTTTTCATAATACATGGTTGAAGTATAACAAAGTATAACAAAGTATAAATAATTTAAAGCTTATATTTTTATAAATTATCTTTGGCTAAATATTATTATTTATGGTAGGTATAACAGATGTTAAAACCATAGGTATGGGTACTTAATTCAAGAAAAACAAACTGATAGTCATAGTGATGATGTTAATCATTAATAACAGTTGTTATTCTACTATATAACCCACACATACCTACAGCTATAACCTTTAGAATCCTAAATAAACATTGCTATAAAATAGCTGGAACATGGCTCAACAAACACATACAATAAAATAAAAAGTAGAATAAAAATAGATTTTACTTGCATTTTATACAATAATTGTCAGACTGGATAGTAAAAAATAAGCCGTTAATGACCTTACATATTTTTTCTATACCAAAAAATGTACTAATATGAATTAGATAAATTGCATTTTTGATTTATTTTAAAACATTACTTCTTTATTACGTTGTTTACAAAATTAAATGTACATGGATAATTTATTATAAAGTATTTTTATTTATTTTGGATAGTATACAATAAAGTATAAACAATATACAGTGTTTCGTAAAAAGACATTTTCGTTTTGAAAATATCTTTAGGGAAATCATATAATTTGCACAGTAGAATGAGCATCTTAAATCATGAAATGAATCGTCATTGGTAATTTGAACTTTCGTGATCAAAATTTATGTTGAAGGGATGAAAGTGTCAGATAACAAAAATGTGTGCCGAATCATTAATGAAATTGTTTATTTTTAATGCTGGAACCCATATTGAGAAATGAGAACTTTTCGTAAATTATACGAGGCATAGATTAATGTCATTATATAATTTATCGATATATCATTAATGCCATATTCGTTTATGCGTTTTTGAGTTATAATTAATTAAGTTATATATATATATATGTTTCTATAGTACAGCATTCATGAATACTAAGTCCTGAAAGATATTACTACCTACCATAATCCTTTATAAATCTACCATAATAATACGATTATTTTAGGATACAGTAATTCCTAGTTAATTTAAATCAAATAATTAATTCTTAACATGTCTGTACATATTATTATGACTAATAATATGGATTCTAGAGTATTAAAATATAAAACAATTATTTATTTTTTTTAAACAATTTTCAGTTATTTAGTACATTAATTAAACAACTAAACATAGTACGGTAATTACGTACGGCAATGAAAATATAATACCTAGACATTTTCCTACTTGAGAGCTATTTGCAGGATGTTTTAAAATTCATAAAAAGTAAGGTAAAACGTTAATTTGAATACTTTTGATTTTTATATTTGCTAAATATTATACTTCTTATGCATTTTTATTCTGATATAATTTTATATTTATACTTCGAAATATTTTAAATAATTAAGCATTGATATCTTAAAACATTATTTACCTAAAGTTATATTTTCTTTGTTTTAAATCAACGTAGGTAATTTAAAGTTTCAAAATAAACTTGGTGGATGAAAACCTTTGTTGTTCCGTATTGTATTCTATCAAAGACAACTATGAGCACAGTATATAGTTGTGGCTTTATACTTATTGACAATCTATACGACCTGTAGAACTTGGAACAATGTGTGATAGAGGGAAATGTAATAATCTTTTAATTTAATTATTTTTCTTTAATCTTTATAAGCTGTGAGAGTAATTTTCGTTTGGTAATTATTCTTGTTAACTTTTCATTATTTTGACACCAAAATACTAGTACTTTAATTTGCATTTATACAACATAGAAGTCTAAAGTAAAGATGAATATATTTTTAGATAAGATAAACTTAAAAATTATACGTTTTCATCATTGAATGTCTGAATGTCAATCACTAAATGAAATAATTTTCTATAGATTTTATTATATTAATAAAAATAACAATTTGGTTATGATCGAAAAATGTTTAGATGCCATGATTTTTAATATTAGAAGTTGTGAATTTTCGCATAAATTATAATTACGGATGTCATCATTAAAAATATTTTTTCAAGAATAGTTTTAGTAAAATATAGCACAATTATTCTCATAAATTTAGTGTTTTTATATTTAAGGTTTAAGATTTAAAAACAATCAAGGAAACATGTAATGAGAAGTCATAAATAAGATTTAATATTAAATTATTTTAACACTCAAATGAAAAAAACTATTTATTTCCTACGGGGGTTTTTAAACAATTTATTTCTATTAGTCTTATGTATTTAAAAAAAAGCGATTAAAATGTATTGACCAATAGATTCATCTAAAAAAAAAAATCTTTTTTATGGTATTTATGTAAGACAAACAAACTCATCTGTGTATAGGAAAAATTTAAAAAGAATAATGAGTGGAGACGAAGAGTAAAGGAAAAAATAAACACTATTCAATTTACTTACAGTCGTTTTTTCCAAACATCGAAGCAAATGATGATGCTGCAGTTCAAATATGTCTTCTTCTCTGTAATTTTCATCAAGCTCTAGCCCAGATTCTTGAGCCGCCATCCTGGCTTCAGCCGCTTTTTTTTTGCTTACAAATGCGGCACCCGAAGAGGCCTTTGCTATCCTTATCCTAGCTAGCCGTGCTTTCTGTGAAACACCAAATTAATGTGATTAGTATAACGAAACAAATACAGATAAATAATATTTTTTAAGAGCCTAGAACACACGTTTTTTTACATTAATATACCACATTAGGTACTACCCTTGACTGGTTTATTTTATTATTTAGTATAGATAAAATGAAAAAATGAATTAATTTCATAAATTATAAGAGCACTAAGTACCTACTTATGACATTAACAGTAATTTGTTATAAGTTAGCTTTTATTAGCTAATAAAGCCAGGTATATATTATTATTGTATACTGTAGAGTAAAGACGTTAAATTAAAAGTTTATAACTCACATGTTAATCTTAATAACATATTCAGTGCCTACTTATTGGTTATTGTATGTACCTGAGTATAGTATTGATACTTGAATGTGACTGATACAATTTCGTTTAGTTATTTATTAATGATTAATAATTAAAAATTATTCGATAAATATCGATTAGTTATTAGTTTAGCTATACATTATACAGATGTGTGCCTGTGTTTATACTGTCTTCAGACGTTATATTTTCTAGATAAAATTAAATCATAAGTAAATAACTGGTCGAATTGAAAACTAAAAAAAACCAAAACATTTCTATACAAAGAATAATTTTAAATTCTGAACGGGGGCGAAAAATAGCTATTGGTTTTAGGTTTTATGTTATTTTTTTATTTAGCAGTTTTCGGGTAAGTAAAAATATGTTCAAAAATCGAATGCGTCATACCATCATATCATTCGATTGGAAGTATATATTTACACTGTATAGACATTTCCATCATAACATTTTTTTTAAATCGCGCCAACTACCACAGTATTTTATTATTACGAATCCATCATATTTTGCGTAACAACAACTCTGCTTTATATTCGATTTTAATAATGATCTACATGCAATTATTTTTCGAGATTCAAATAAAAAATAATTTGTAAGTACATTTTGTTTTCCTCCAAAATGTAATAATATGTACCCGATATAATGAACACATGCAGTCCCTCCTTTTCTCACTCACTTATTATTTTAATAATCATTGTCAAATGCATAATATGACAACATACATTTATTATATACACATGTATGATAACAAAATGTAGTAAATACTTGTACTAAGTATCTTAGTACTTAAAATATATTTTTTTTTTGAGGGTCATTATAACTAGGTAGGAAGATAAAAATCAATATGTGCTCATATTTATAAATTGTTTAATTTAAATTTGATTCTATATTTGTCTATACTTCTACAGAATATTTCGATCTTTTTAAGATGTATTAGAATCAAAGACGTTAATAGAGTTTTGACCCCATGCAAAAACTTATTGGATGCTGCTCCTATATTCTCACCACCTATTTACAAAATGAACTGCCGACACATATTTGGGTAAACAATTGTTTGAAAAATATTTTACAAGAACTTACAAACACTCATCATTTCATACATATACTACTGAAATGTTCACGTTTCTTTCTCATAAAATAATGTTCTAGTTTCTAATTTCTGTTTGGAAGTTCTCGATATAAAAAGTGGATTTTTTTAAATTGTTGTCTATGACCAATTTTCTAGAAGCTAAGTTGGTAAGTACATTATTTAGTTTAATTAATTTGTCACTCGTTTTTATATGCCATTGTTCGTATAATAATAAAACAACTATAAGTTTATATCAACTTAAGTACAACACAATGAATACAACAAACTATAGCTATTAAGTATAAACTATGAGCCATAACAAAACTGAAAATATAAATAAAAAATAACATTAAAAAAATTTAATTAGTTAGGTACTCAATTATTATGTTCTATCGGCAACGTTGTCGTAAGGGATTTTATTTTCTGGCAATTATTTTTAGGGTTCCAAACAAAAAAACAAAATAATAGTTAGAAATAATTTATTAGAATGTACTTTATTAAATATTAATTAATCAAAAAACATTGTTAAACTAAAATATATAGTAAGGTTAAGATACGGTTACAATTGACAGTAAAATAATAGGGAATGGACCAGTTGCACCTAAAACGATGTATTTTGTATTTTAGGATCAGAGTACCAATTGCTCTTGCCTTTTAGTAACATCTATACGGTTGTGGATGTGTTTTTGTTTGATTATCAAACATAAACTGTGCATATTAAGTAATTGAGAATAAAAAACGTATATGTTTATTGTAAATTGCAGATTACTGAGTTAATAGTTAGAAAAATATCTTATCATTTGTGTGTACAAAAAAAGAGGGAAAGTGAGTAGTCTAGTTGTTCTACAGTTGGTGTCGAGTATTCGAGTGTAACTAGTCATTCTAGAGTACCTAAGTCACTATAGGTTAGATTAGTGTTAATGTATATTGTGCTAAATTTGAGTTCTATGTTAAAATCATTGCAAATGAAAAACGATTAAGACTTTAGAGTAAAGTCTCTTCATTGCCTATACGACTATATTACTAATTATAGGTGTTTTATGATATTATTGCTATTAAAATAATTTATTTTACTATTAGTATAATAGTAAGTTGAATTTATATTTGCCAAAAACATTGAATTTAAAAATTTTATTGTGTGTATAAAATATAGTAGTATACATAAAAGTTTTAAGTACCTACAAATAATATTTTTTAATTATATCGTAAGTAACTAAATCATTATCTTTGTTATCATTATTCTTCGTTTAAAATAATATCTAATTTCGTCTAAATTTGAACACAAAACCACCCCCTCCCTAAATAGGTACATATCGAGAAGTAAATTAGTGAAAAAGTATTATGATTAAGGTGGCAAAAATTATATAAAATATAATTTTAAAATTTCGTAGAATTGTGGAAAATTGGAAAAACTGGCACCGACACCTTTACCTAAAAGTTGATTTGCAGTCAATATTCAATATCCTGACTTTTAAAAAACATCATTATCATTAACCTACTCACGTAGAAATGTATGGATTCGAATGATAGATACAAATATGAAATAAGTTATCATTATCGTTAATTGTTTATCTATCACCCTAAAATATAACTTTGTGGTATTTCACAAGTAATTTAAAATCTTGAATTTGTGGTAAACAATTTAAGATTACTAGTATGGTGTCCATTTAAGCATTAAATTCTAAATCAATGTCATACGATTTGCTGCTATTGACATATTATTAATCTCATAGCGATGACCTAATCGCATATTCACGTGATTGCCGTAGTGACCGGTGGTTGGCAGTAGATCTGCAGGGACTGTTAAGTAGGTCGTTAAAAACAATTTGTCAAACAAACAAAAACCTATATAGAATACTGTTTATGACATATATTATTTAATACCTATTTAATTTACTAACAAAAAAATGTAAAATAATCAAGTAGAAATGAATTATGATCATATAATATATTGTACATATTTTATTTAATTATATATACTAATATACATTTAAATATAGATAATTTGATTTTCGAGCAACACGACAGTAGAAGTGTAATTGATATTAACCATATCACAATTGAAATAAAATTATTATTTATTATTTTTGACCATATGAATAATATTGTAATACCTAATATTCATAAAGTGCGATACCAAAAATAAAATGATTAAAACTTGACTTTTACATATAATTGCGATATGATAGTTGTTCATATGCCATGGTTGATGAATAATTACGACGGACGTTGGATGTATACTGTGGACAGTGATGTTGCCGCCCTTAAATCGCTACTAAAATTACTGCATTGTTGCTTAGTTTGATGGTAACTCCTTCAACCCCTCTAAGTACGTCCCTGATTAGAATTCAGTAAGTATTGAAAGAACATATACCACTATAATACTCATGAACCACTACAATATTGTGCACTAATTATTACACAATTATATACAATTACATTAGTTAACTCCATAGTTATATTTTTATGTTTAAGAATACCATTTCAATTTTAAAGAATTTAAAAGTATATGTAATTTATAAGCCTTTATAACTTTAAAATTTAAACCAAAATTTTAGGTAAAATCCACTTAAAAGTTTTATTTCATTCAGATGTACCTAATATTCCATAAACTTTTCAAAAGGTTTCTTAATAGAATTTTGTAATTCATCATGAATTATTTATTATTCATAAAATCATAACTTATAACAGTCAATGAATAATAATGATTATATTCCATATTTATTTAGAATTTAATTTATAAAAGAAAAATAGAACTTACTCTTTGAGCTTTTCTTTTATCTGCTCTCTGATTTTGATGGTAAATGCGACTGAAATTAGACACAATTACTGGTACAGGTAATGCAATGACAAGCACTCCGCTTAGTGAACACACTCCACCGACAATTTTTCCAGCAATTGTTTCTGGTACCATGTCGCCATACCTGTACAAATAAATGTATGATTTTTAGTTTTTAAAATTTAAAGATTGTTCAATATTATATAAATACATTATTAATAATTATTTTTAACACTCCTTTACAAATGATTGAATATTTAAACTACAGTAGGTATGTACCTACATGCAAGTGAAGTATAAAATATAATAACTGTGTAAATATATATGATTTTCTTTGGGAAAAATAAACTCAATAGACTTTATCGTATGGGTAATATGTCATAGTCATAATTAAAATTACTTAATAATTAAGTACCTATATTGAAATAATGGACTTTGTGCTAATAATTATAAATTATGAAGTAGTCACACTTAAAATTAATTATAATTTCAACACCCTAATTATATTATAAGCATGGCAATAATATAATTATGCACCTACCTAATAGTATTATACGATAAAATATTCTGAACAAGTATATGTAAAAATAAGTTCTTAGAAAAGTTTAATATACCTGTTGTTCAAAGTTTAAAACATTTTATAATTATGTATTTTTAAGTTTAAAATTAAGTACCTTAAACATTTTTAAAATCGTTTTCAATTAAAAAAAAACTAATTTTACAGTCGAAATAATTTTAATCATGTACTTAAGAGTAATGTTAATAAAAAAAAAAAATGAAAAGTTTTTATAAAATAATCTGTTTTTTATTTTCCAATCTATTTGTATTTAATTTTTAATTTTTAATCTACAATTTTATGTTAGTATTCCATACATACGTTAGATACAGTATTTTATGAGGTTGAATTAAATAAGTATTTTATTGTTTTACATTTTTTTCAATATTATAGATTATATAAGTAAATTTCTTTTTAATGATTTTAAAGTCTAAAACTCCAAAGTACCCTATATAATATATTTTATTTTACATTTAACTATTTATTTAAAGACAATCAAATGTATTTAACAAATAAAATAAAAAAGAAATTTGATGGAATTAGTTACATTATTCTTCGGTATTTGGAGTCTTTAAAAGAATCTTTGAAGGTGAATCGTTTTTACGAATGTGTTTCAAAGTTTTACTAGATTATTGATTTGATAATAGTTTATACTTTTTGAATAAAGTTTATAAAATTTGATCTTCTCAAAACTTTATACGGCGTGTACTATAAATTATCTATAGTAGCTTGTACTCATTATATTTGTATTCATTAAAATGATTCTTTTATATTGCAACGTTATTTCGTATTATGTATTATATCAAGTTAAAAAATATGTTAATATACTGACGAGTTGAATTTTCATAAAATCTAGAAAGGAAATTATAAGATTAAGTATTCAATTATCAATAAGCTTGTATTATATCATAATATAAATTACCTAAACATTTTTTTCGATATAGATGTACGTTATTAATCTTTTATTCATCTCCATTATAACACTTACAATATTATACGTAAATGCACATTGTGTAATATTCCTTCATAAAGCCATGACGTGTAGTTTAATTTATAATTGTATTCTCATAATTATTTCACAAAATAGGTTATACTCTTTATGGTACATCACCATTTGATTTGTAAATATACATATATTTCGTATGATAAGTCAGAGTAGATGTGAATAATTTCCAATTACATAGTAATTTTTAGATTATTGTATCACTTATATTACCATCACAAATGTTCAATCAAATATCAACAGGTCATTGGTAAAGTTAATTGGAGTATCAATTATTTCTCAGCTAAGTATAGATTAGCAATATTCATACACGTATGTGATGTGTGGGTTGTGGTCTACATTTCAAATAGATACCCACTCACGTTTACTCTTTAGCAAACTGTTTACCTTGTTCGGTTAAAATCTGTCACTGATACATTAATAATTCAGAACCAGATACCAACTAAAGGCTAGACAGACAAGTTATATGATTGCGATTGGGTAACAGATACTAACAGTTAAAGCCATGTAAACATTAATTAAACAACATTTTGAACATCAACAACTTCATATGTAAATCAAATGTGAAGTGTTTATTTTATATTAATACGTTGAAGTTAATCATTTTCCTTGTATTAAGATAAACGGATATATAATAATATGGTGTTCAAAATATAAAGTATATAATTTATTCAGTAGTATAAATAGGTATAGTATTCGATGTTTATAGAATTAAAAACAGTTTTACTTTAAATAATTTAATTATAAAATAAAAGGACTATACAACATTAGGCTTTACGTTGATACTGTTGAATGATTGTCATATTCCACTAACTTTGGCACCTACAATAGTTTGTTTTAAAACAATGTTAAAAGCTATGATTAGGTACTCAATTATTGCATAAAAAAAAATAATAGGCACCAAGTGAAATATGTTAATTAATATTATTTAATATCCTTTCAGTTTTTAGAGTGATAATATAAATATATGACTGTAATTGTCGATATTTTTATAAGGCATATCAGTAGTTTGAATATGACACCAATACTTTTTATTTTATATTGGAATTGGAAATGTTCGTCTAAGCCCTATAAAGTATTAAAGTGTATATATATTTTTTTAAACACATAACTTTGAAATCTTTTGTTAATTGTCTGTGTATTTTTTATTAACCCTTGAAAATTATAATTATTATCATTGATATACTGTTAATATTTTAGAGTGCCATTAATGTTTAATTTCTAGCAGATAAAACAGCCACGAGAGCTATTTTATGAATCTTTTTGATCACTTATTCTACTCAGAAAACTGTTTTATACAGTCTCAAAATAAATACATTATTGTTACCTAAATACAATGACTTCATCGTTCCATTATCTAAATATAACTATGTAACTATAATATGATGTAGAGATTGCTTGTTAGTTGTTTCACTGACAATTATATTTTATAAAACGTTTACATTTCAGTAAATATAGAAATATAGTTACAGGCAGGGCTCAAATAAGCTAGCGGCCAAAAATAAACGACCAATTGTATAAAAAAAATCTATTTGTTTTAAAAAACTATTTTTATAATAAAAGTTCTATGTAAAAAAAATTACAATTAAAACATTTCGATGTTTCTCCTGGGTTGTGACGAAGAAAATTCTTTAATTATATATTATCATAATTGATGGTGGAGATTACTGATTAGAATACTTCCGATGTTTACTACGGCTAACTGATACAAAATATAATATTTAAAGTAGGGAATAAGCGAATGAAGTTGTAAGTGGATTACAGTAATGACAATTAAAAATAATATTAGAGCCTCCTCAAACCACCCACCCAGGACAGCCTCCTGTTGCCACCCTTAAATACAGCTACGGTTACAAGCTACATAATTATTCTGCCTGTAGTCTACCTATAATAATTAAATAATAATAAATCTACCTTGCCGGGAATGTTAGTATAGGTATATTATGTATATTGATATTTATATATAAGTACTGTTTAAAAAAAAATTAATCAATAAGAAAAAACTTGTTAATATTAAATTTAAATATGTTTCGATAAAAAAAAGCATGATTAAGAAAACATAACAAAGTGTGATATTGTATTCATAAATGAAAATAACACACGAATTTTCTCGGTAAGCTCCAATATTTATTTTTTAGAAATTAATTAAAAGAAAAAATTGGTTTTGCAATAAAATTTTTTCTCTGTGAAAAAAATATTTCAGTTTAAAATTGGTAACTAATTAAAATTATTATTGGAACCTGTGTTAACTTTTGAATATAATTAAAAATGTAAATACAAAATAAACATTATTAAATAATATTATCAAATAAACTAGCCGTTATAAATATATAAAACTGTTGGTGCTTTTTTATATAAATATTTTAATTTTTAAAAATTAATTTAGTACATCTTAGTAATTACCTGAACAATAATTAAAAATTAGTATATTGTTTTAATACGATTAAAATCCTTTTTTATATTGAACTTATAGGTTAACTGTAATGATAAAAATATACCCACACGTGTCAATAAATTGGTTACTTGACTACGTGCGAAGAAAATATTGACGTAGGTAAGTTTTTCCTTGATTTTAGATTTTGTACATAAAGAGATACGACTTACAGTGATTTTTTTACTAGTTTTATTAGAAAACACTTTTTGAGCCAGTAAGAAATATGAAAAAAATGTTTTGATGGATAAGTTATAAGTACGAAAATAACTGTACTGAGAAAAACGATAACCAGCGGAATTACAGTAATTTTGTTTTAAGGGAAATGGATGCGGTGGTTATTTGTCTTTGTCGAACATACAAGCAACATAGGAATTTCGACTGTCCTATTTCCAACGTTAGAATTCGACAAAAACATTTTAAATTGTCGTTAAGTATACTTGAGATCAATTTCTACTCTTTGTAATCTTTGATTAAAATTTTTGAAGAAATTAAAATCAAAAATCCTATCACCTTGCAAAATGTCAAAATTTATTCAGAATATACTACCTACTAAATTGTAATTGGAGAACTTGAACTACTTTTTAGGTATAAATAATATTTAGTTAAAATTTGTTAAGCAATAATTTTCTGAGCAATCTAATATTAATGTAGTACTTACCTATGGGCTATGACCTATCTACCCAAACACGTTTTAATGACACTTGTTCACCGAGACCAAGCTAGTATACAGTTAATTGTAACGGTCAATAAAAAATGTATCTAGTTTAATAGTAAATTAGTAAAGTATGAACAAACTAATTAAGGTATATTAGAAGTTAGTGAGTAACTGACATACCTACCAAACTACAAATAATCTAATGACTAATTAGTTAGCATACCATTCTGTCAATTTATCTGAAATAAATACAATACAGTAAAACAAAAATCAACAATTTAATTGATTACCATAATTATGCTAAAATTTAAGCTTTTTATGAGTAGGTACAAGGAAAATAATTAAGTTATCATCACTTGTATTTTAAGCTGTGTAGTTACCTAGTACAATTAAATGAAAAATAATGTAAAAAAATTTCTATATTAAAGAATTATTGCATTCATATTTTGAATGGGAAACAATTTTTCAAACTGTCAAAAAGTTCAATAAATACAGAT